GCTGAGCCAGGAGTTTGAGGTTGCTGTGAGCCAGGCTTACGCCACGGCACTCACTCTAGCCTGGGCAACAAGTGAGACTCTGTCTCAAAAAAAAAAAAAAAAGTAGACTGTATTTATGCTGGCTGAATTTTCTGTTTATTCACCTATTATCCCCAGCCCTGTGTCAGCAACCAAGAAGCCTGCAGCCGGTCTCACGCCATCTTAAGGGGAACTGAGGACAAAGTTCTGGACTCTTGGCCTGTGGGAGTCAAGCAGCACAGCGCCCCAAGACCAATGAGAGGACTGCAGGAAGGTGCCTGGTGGATGGAGTCACTTGCGCTCCACCACATTTCTAACAGAAGTATCTTCTTCCAAAACTGTGCCAGCACTGCTGGGATGTGTTTCCCTGAAGGAAACAGGTTTCCCTCCTGCGTGTCATCCCTAACTGTCTGCAGGAGCCCATTAAGGAGAAATGAGCAGAATGTCCAGCAAAATGACCCGTGAGACAGAACACTCAGGGCCAGAACCATCAGGAGTTTCATCAGAGCAGTTGGTGGACAGACCAGCCCGATAAGCAAGGAGCGAGCCAGCGACTGTATAGCAGCTAGGTGGGCACAAGGCTTTTCTGGACTAGATGACCGTAATGCGGGTTCCTTCCCCTACCAACTCCCACCTTATCCTACACCAAAAACCCTGACACTGTGGCAGGGATGGGGGATGTGTGGTGGAGGGGTGGGGAGAGGCTGAGAGAGATGCAGGAACACATGTGTGACTGGGAACAATGAGGGGTCCACATGCAAGGGAAGAAGCATTTACAGAGAAGATTTTGACAGGACTTCAAAGATTTGGAGGTGTCGGGCACAAGTCACTCTGCCTCCTGTGTCAAGTCCAGAAGGAGCCTAGCCATCCAGGTGGACAGGTACACCCTTCTCACAGGCCACACGGATGGGCCTGGTGGAGTCCTTCTTGTGGTAGTGGCAGTGAGGGGGGCGGGTCCCTGTGCTGGCAATGCAGTCAGTGACATCGACATCATGAGTACTGTTGTGGCAATTGTACATGGAGCGGCTGCTGGTACAGGGCACTGACGGAGTTCTGCAGAAATTAGCAATGGTGGCCAGATTCTCATGAATGAAGGTATTGATCTGCTTGCATTTACCCCTATGCATCAGCCACTGTCGCCTCATCATCACATCACAATATCGGTGGTGTCCTCCGGGGACCCGAGACGTGGGGTTGTCTATATGTCGTGTTGAGAAGGGCAGGGCTGGAGTGGAGACAATTAGGTCTAGGAGGAGGATCAGGAGGAGGAGGATCCTCAGATTCATGTTTTCTGTGAAAACAGATCAAAGAAAAGCAGAGTCAGAGCAAGCCATGGTCCCATGTCTCCAAAGTATCTGTTACGAAGAGCTCTGAGCCCGGCACCTAATGTCAGCAATTCTCTCCTCCTGCCTCTATCTACACTCATTCTCCATGTACTCATGGCAACAACTGTTCTCACATCCTTCTGCCTCACACCTCTACTTTCCTCTGGATAAGAGGTGAGGAGAGGTGTGAGTTATCAATAGAGGAGATGTCTACTGCCCAGTCAACCCATTATGGACTTGCCACACAAGGTTATTTCCAAGCCCTAACATGATTCTTGCTCCTTCCTAAGCAGACCAGCTAACCTAAAAACTTTCATCTCTAAAGTGTTTGCCTCTATCAGTCCATGTGCTGCCCATCACAGCTCTGTGAGGTGAGACAGGTATCACTGCCAGCCCCTTTCTACAATGACGTAACTCCAGAGGGAATCGACAGATCCATATGGCTTTCATCTTGGAAAACATTTCCACTTCTTTAAATACATATGCCTATTTAAACACTGTTTTTCAAAAATGTGAGCATTTTAGTCCTGAGAGAGTAGACTTTGTTTTCCCCATATTCTGTGCCTCAGAATAAAGACTTCCAACTCTTCCATGTATAGAGCCCATCATCAGGAAACATTCCAATTCCTGATGGTCATGGACCTGGGTGACTGGGTGTGAGCCATCTGTCTCTGGGTCTAATATTCTGACTCCTTTTTTGAATACCTGGGAATCCCAGAGAAGGATTTTCTGCAGACTAGATGACATCCCCACAGATAGATATGTCCCTCTCAGAGGTGGATATTCCTAGCAAAAACGGAAGTTCTGCTGCCTCTCTCCTTCCTCTAATCCTGTAGAAGTTACATTGTGGACATTTTCTTCCTAGAGCTTAGGTTGAAGGCCATATTGGAAAACTCTCAGGCCTGTCAATGATCTTAAACAGATTGCCAAGTAGGAGTAATTTCATGCTTACTATTGCACACCTAAATTGTTTATCTGCATCACACAGAGTGCCTATGACATCATTGAAAATATGCAGAAACTTGGGGTTTAGTGCCTGTTTGTCACAAGCTTGCTATTGGGGCTTGCCAAATCACCTCATTCTTCTACTCCTCATCTCTAAAGTGAGGATTATAGACTAATGATCTCTTTCAGCTGCTCTGACATCTCTGTCTTTTTATGCATTACTTGTATGTATGAGTCCATATGTGATTTTGTGTGTGTGCATGCCAATTTCTGCATGTTCAGGTAAAAAGAAATATTTAGTTTGTAAATTGGGTTTGAATTTGAGAACTGTTAATCTCATTAAGTCTATTTTTTCTTAAAAGCAGTTGTTAGGCCAAAAAAATCAATCAATCTTATGTAAAGATCGCATTGTTTTTTGTCTCCACCTTTAAAATTATATATGCACTTATTAAGGGAGAATATGCCTGGGATTTGAGTTTATATTTTAGTGAGGCAAGGGAAGAAATTAGTACATATGCTTGCCCAGAACTACAAAATCATCTAAGTTAGGGAACCCGATAATGAAGGTGGCAGAAGTTGCATAGATAGTTTATCAATAAAGTGTGCTGTTTCACAGCTCTGTTGCATAGCTCTTGTCCTGTTAGGTCTCCTGGTCAGATAGGCCCCAAAAGCCTTTTGTATAATTAGGCAAAACTGACTAATACATGACAAGAAACTGAACTGAGATCTAATACCTAAATTTTAATATCATTTGATTTCTATCTGCTTTATAATTGGACAAGAAGCCAAGAAAAGAGAAAGTATTTCTTTTTGAACGTTATGCTCAGTTATTCTTGTTTAAGTCACACAACAATTCCAACAAGTATGGGTTACTATTACCACTTCTACAGATTTCACAATTTCTTTTGTTTATAGACTTGCATAGCTGGTCACTGGGTTTATAAGATCCAATCCTCGGTATGCTCAGGTTGGCCAAGTACTATGTAGAGGATCTTATTACTCCTAAGTTGTAGAGCTCTAATTCAAACCATTGTCCTTTATTTTACCTTAACTTTCTGAAGAGGATGTGTGGCAGGAAGCAGGACAAGGAAAGATTTGAAATTTATTTTCCATGAAAAAGCTTGTCCTTATTTTGAGGAGAAAGATGCCTTTGTAGTGTGAGAGACTAACCTAGTCCTCCAAAGACAACCAAGAGGACTAAACCACATTACCTAAAATAATAAGTAAGGTGTGATTAGGGGCAGTTACAGGAGAATATAAGGGCTGTCTGGAAAGTATCCAGCCATGTAACTGTTCTTGTTATATTAAAGTATTCTAATAAATTAAACATGGTAGGATGATTTTACAGAAAGATGGCCAGACATGGTGGCTCATGGTTATAATCTCAGCACTTTGGGAGGCTGAGGCAGGAGGATTGCTTGAGGTCAGGAGTTCAAGACCAGCCTGGGCAACATCGCAAGATCCCCATCTCTACAAAAAAAATCAAAAGGGCATGGTGGTGTGCACCATGTCTGGCCATGTAGAAAAGAGGCTTCCTGCTCTCTTCTGACTATCTGCCTTTAAGTCCACAATAACTAAATCAAAAAAATATAAAATCACTATACTTCGTTTGTTATACCCTTTTTAATTGACAACTACCTCTTAGAAATTAGAAGTTAGTCCCTAAAAGACTTTGTACCTGTTTGTTCACCTAGATAGATTAGAACTTATTAGAAGCCCTTTGAGAGAAATTTTGACCCCAACCCACTCCCTGTTTCCCCTAGCAACTGCATTCCCTGATATGCAAATATGTTACCCTGACAACTGGTAATTGATATCTGTGATTATAAAAACCTGTATGAATCTAACCATATGGCTAGACATTAATGGAGATATGTCTAGTTTCCTGAGTACCTTACTGTTATTCTGATCTTTTTATATAAAACTATAAACTATACCTTAATCTCTGTGTATTCTTTTATTCTCTCTATTTCCTATCAGTTTTCTTATCCTCTGTGGCGACCCCTTTCTAAGGGACCTGGCTTCGTGGGGAGAAGCAGCTGATCTCCTTGCAGCCCTGCCTCACTTCCCAGCACTTAACTTGTCTGTAAACTTGTCTCTTTAAATTTGATCCTTTAGGCCATGATGAGGTGTAGGGACAACAGTGGCTTGTCTTTCCTGGCCCAGATGTGCCTATTGGCCATACTGGAAAAGATTAAATAGATAGATAGATACATAGATGATAGATAGATAGATAGACAGATATCACCTCAAATAGTTACCACTTTCTTTTCTTGATGCGTATGACTGATAGTTCTTATTAAGATCATTATTTACCTCTTGCAATGCTTTATGCTACGTATTTCATACACACATACATTACCACATTAAACTTCCCCTACAAACCTATTATGTATGTGTTGTTGTTGTCAGTATTTTATAGATTAGAAAACAGAGGAATAGAGAGGATAACTGGCCAATTCTTACAATAAAAATCTCAAAAACAGTTAGGACTGGTAGCTGGACAATACTATACAAAATCTACACTCCACATCACTATGACACAAAACTTATAACTTCATTTACAAAGATGCTAACCCATGTAATAATAATTTATTTCCTATGCGTTGAGAGCTCAGTGAATGCCTCTACATGCTCTATATGCAATGGGGATGGAGAGAGGTTGATTAATGGGAACATATATATAGTTTGACAAAAGAAATAAGACCTAGTGTTAAGTAGATCAGGAGGGTAACTCTAGTTAATGATAATCTATTTGCATTTTAAAATAGCTAGAAGAGAATAATTTGAATGTTTCTAGTATAAAGAAAAGACAAGTATTTAAGATGATAGATGCCCCAGTTTCCCTGATGTGATCTCAACACATTATATGAATGTATCACATTATCACATGTGTGCTGAAAATGTGTATATCTCCTACGTATCAGTAAAAATAAATAAATTTTAAAAATATGAAGTGAGTCCATTTAATATGTATGAAATTTTCCAATTTCTTAGTAAAAATACTTTATTTCATCCCTTCTCAGATACACTTCTCTATAATCCCATCTGAACTTTATTTCTATTTAAGAACTTGTGAAAGTTGAGGAAAAGAAGAAAGGCTTAGTTCTTTCCTATTTCATACCAGAAACGTGGTCAAAGGGGTCAGATCTGCTTTTGTTCAGTGGTGTTCAGAGGAGAAACGTAGGAGGCTCCATATAAGAAGAAGGTAGCTGAAGCAGGGGCAATATACGTAACCTTAAAATTTGTACCCCCATAATATGCTGGAATAAAAAATAAATAAATAAAATAAAAAGAAGAAGAAGGTAGACCTAGAGCCTCCTTGCTGAGTCCAAGACACCAGGAAAAGCTCAGCATACCAAATGTCTTTTGAACTTAGTTAAGTTAAATCTCACTTAATTGGTTGCAATTAGATTAACCTGCACCATATCATTATGATAGTTCTGTTAATAGTGTGCATTGTCTTTCTCATAGATAGCCACTGCACTAGGGAAAGTTGTGTGCAGGAAGATATTGACAGTTGGCATCTTCCTGTCAGCAGGTTATGAACAGTCATTGCAAGAGTACCCTGGGGCTGAAGAAATTGCAAGCATTGGACGTCATATTTTTGCACGTGGAGCTTATCAAAGGAGACATTAATCAACCCTGAGGCCAGTGTACTCAACAATGGTTTTTACCACAAATGCAGAAACCTTTTTCTGGGACAATATCATACAATGTTCATCAGTTTCAAAATGAAACTTAATAAAATATTAGGACATAATTCTGGCTATTCCTCTCCCTGGTGTGGATCAGGTCTGGAAATGTGCCACTAAACTGGGCTGCAAGTGAGGTTATGCTTATAAATAGCAAAGAGTCCATGAGAAGTGGCTTTTGTCTGTTAAAGACAGAATCATGCTGAAGTTACAGTGAATATTGTTTAACACAGGCTTACATTTTTTTCTGCTTCATAGAAAAGGGTCCTCTCCTCAAGGTCTTAAATATCGACCTAGACCATTTGTACTAGTCCTGGAGGCAAATGAGGGTCGTTGGAAATGTACCGAGGAAGCCTACACAAGGAACGTTAAGAAAAATCTCACGGGGTATGCTCTGGATATAATTGTAAAGGAGGAATATGGTTGAGAGAATTGAGCAGGTTATGGTCTGAGTCATTTCCTAAGACACTGTGACAAGTCTGATGGGTCATAGGCACAAATGTCTCCCAGAGCCAGGTAGGTGTCATCACTGAGGGAACAGACAGGACCAGAGTCAGGAGGGAGGAGTGGAGTGGTGAAGACCCCTGAGCTAGCGCCCTTTCCACAGGGGGGCTACTACTCAGCTCTCATTGAACATTGAGAGTGCCGCCGTAACAGACGCCGAGTGCGCCAACCAACATCATACAATTTTTTTCAGATGAGACAAGAATACAAATTTTCTTTGTGAACTATTCTAATCTCAAACGTTAGCTTCCAAACCAAACTTTCTAAATAATGTTGTATATGTTGAAAAGAAAAGAGATTTTTTGTTTGTTTTTTGAGACAGAGTCTCACTCTGTCACCCTAGCTGGAGTGCAGTGGTGTCATCGTAGCTCACTGCAACCTCAAACTCCTGGGCTTAAGCCATCCTCCCACCTCAGCCTCCTGAGTAGCTGGGACTACAGGTGCATGCCACCACGTCCAGCTAATTTTTTAATTTTTTATAGAAACAGTGTCTCGATCTTGCTTAGTCTGAGAAGTTTTTGAGCCAGATACATTACCTGGGAGTGCAGTATATATATATATATTTTTTTTTTCCTCATATTATAGACACTTGAGTACAGATCTGTATGTCCCATGTGGTTGTCAGCATCACAGAGGGTGTACTCTGTATCTCATTCATCTTGGCATCCTCATAACCTATAAAAATGATCTCCACACAACATACATTACAAAAAAAAAATGTGCTTTATGATAAAAAAAAAAAAGACAGTAATAAACGATAGCCAGAACAGGGTTTCAAAGCAGAGCACTATTAGCTCTGGATTGGGTCCTGACCAGGTCACCATTGTCCACATTTACATAACGACATTAATGGTAAAATTATTATACTTTCAGACAATAGGAAGAAGAAATGGTTGTTAAAAAATTATGTGTATTCATTTTGTTGGAAGGTTGTGTGATACCATGTAAGGGTCTAATTCTAGTTCTTTAACCTAGAAGTTGGACAAGAGATCTAACACCTCCCAGCACACAGGTCTTGCCCCTGCAGTCCACTGTCCACCTCTGTACAACGTCCCACACCATGCCCTGTGCCTCCTCTCTTGGCTAAAATCCCAGCAAAAACCTGCTTATCCCTTAGGGCCAGTTCAATTGGCCCTTTCTTCTGGAAGCCTTCTTTGTCCCATCAAGCCAAGTAACTTCCTTCATCCCCAGTGCCCATAAAACCATGTTCACACAGGTAGTATTACCTCTGTCGCACCGTAATAAAATTAGGTATTTATAATTATTTTCTCTGTTTTCTCTGGGGGCCAACACAAAATGTGTTTCATGAATCAAAGTATACACTGTGACCTTTACACTTTCAGGAATACAGGGCCCTGTCCTTAAATGTTCATTTTATATTAATAAACATAGAATCATTTTCCTGGTAACATCACAAAATGAAATTTACTAGGAAGGTGAATGACAACTCCAGACTGCACTGTTTTATAGGAAATAGCACAGGTTGAAAAGAAGCAGGACAACTCAGTGCTAAGTTAGAATCCTTTATGACAGCTAATGTTCATTCTCTGACAGATTTTACAGAATGACTTTCCTCTGTGTATTTTCAGGTTATGTGACTTTACACCAAGTGGAAACAATAATCAGAGCAAGAATTCAAAAAAAAGAAAGTGAATCTAAGGCAAGAGTAGTAGAGGAAAAAAACCTTTCAAATATGTGTAAAAAACTGTTTTAATAACCTGCAGAATCTTGAGCATCAAGAAATTCATAGTTCAAGTTTCCAGCAGAGTGGGTGATGAGATGTGCATTTGTGTGAGAGGGAACTGGGAGTATTATGAAACATGAAAGGAAAGCTGAGTTCCTCCTGGGCAAATGGCCCCACCCGACTCTATTTATTCTGAGTACAGAGCATGCATTTATGTATATTTATCTTTTAGTATCCTACTAAAGCACAGTTACAAAATCTGTGGCCATTCTGCAGGCAGTGTATAGCTTTCATCCACAAGTCCAGATCCAACGAGCAAAACACAGGAGGACATGAAATTAGATGCCTTATAAGAGAAGCAGCAGCGCTGTGGTCCTTGGGTATCCGTTGGTGAGCCAAGTGTCAAGCAAAAAGGTTGATTGCGACAGTAGAACACTTGCCAATCTGTGGCTTTCTGCATGGCCAAGATTCAGACCCTCCTGGCTCTGCCGGCCCCACCCACCCAGGCTACTCTATATTTACAGTTCCAACTAAGGAGGAACCAGCTGTCCCTAAACCCCAGGACCACTGGAATTACAGGGAACCCACAGCGCAGAGACTGGGTAAGTCACTGACCCCTAGAGCTGGGACAGGAGGACAGTGGATGGGGCAGCAGCTGGGGGAGGGGTGAGCTGAACGAGTGGCCCAGGAGACAGGGCACACTTTGGGGACTGGAAAGGAAAAAAGGAAATAGAACACAGAGGTGACAGCAGAGGGACCTTGCAGACACTAAAGCATGTGTCATAACAGAGACAATGCCAGCAGCAGTTACTTCTCTTTCTTTCCTCACAGGAAACATGGTTCCAAAGCTGCTCGACTTCCCGACATTGTCTGCTCTCTGCTGCTGGGCTCATGGGAATGGTGGGCTACTGCCACGCCCCACCTCCTGGTTTAACCTGGGCTCAGTGGTTTTGAATCCAGCACATAAATATGACCCACCCCCAATGCAATAATGCAATGCGGGTAGTTTAACGATTACAGAAGACGATGCAAAACCAAGATATAGTTTTCTTCATACAACTTTCGCTGATGTAGTTAATTTTCTGGAACCCAAAATATAGCCTGTCTTACAAGCCAAAATACAAATTGTCATAATAGTTCAGGTCCAGGTGTCTTTAACCTATTGTAACTCAACAAGTCCACCCGACTCCTGTTCTAACTGCCGATATGCACAGACATCAGCACAGATGTTTCTACAAATTGTTGCTTGTGATAAAAGACGATCTCCACAGGACCCCTCCCGTTTTATCCAGTGGTTCCAGTTCACCTGGATGGAATCATATAAGCTGCATGTCGGCGGCTTCTGTGATCATAGCTCATCTGGTCAAGCTTTCAGGTCCCAGCAAAGAGTGCCATCCCCTCCACGCACGCCTGAGCGTCAGATATATGTGCTCTCATCCCCGCAAGTCTCTTTGAACGCTTTCCTAGCTCATTGGCCTTATTGGACCTTGCAATAAATCTTCTTAGCAGAATCATCAAGGAGTCTCTTGTTGCTATTTTTTTGCAACCCTACATCACTCTTAGTCCACAATCTTGCTTCAGAGACTTTTCCCCTTCCTCTTTAGCACCTGAAAAGATTCGTGGGAAAACAGAGAGATGCTGAAGTTAAGAGACTCTGCATCGTGAGCAACACAGACTTAAAATTTCCCTCTCTCCGACTGTTTTTGGCCAGAAACTGGAGGTTCAATCTGGTGTCTGCTAACTGACAAAGGCCCCTAGCCTTTTAAACCACAGCCTTGGTCATTGTTCCCTCTGAACCTCTCTTCACAATTTAGCGTCCCTTACTTGAAGCTTCCAGAGTCCTTCCCATCGAGTACAGTTCTTTAACGGCGAATCCTGCTACTCAGCTAGCTGCTGCAATCTTCACCCTCCCATATGACCAAATTCCTACACCTCCAACCAGCCCCCCATGTGAATCTGAATCCCCTGGCCGCCCTTGAAACAAAACAATAAACAAAAATCCATATGTCTAAGCTCTTTATATATCAAGGAAACAAAAGAGAGAAAACAAAATTCCAGTGAAGTCAATTTAGCAATGAATCCCACCAGCCTTGAAATCTCCCTTTGTAACTTTTTCCTCCACAAACCCGCCCCACACACGACCAACCTGTTAATTTGTTGTACATCCCCCACTTTGTCCTACTTGTATTCCAAGTTTTGAGTCCCAGTTTGATCCCGAGGTTCATTTACCCTATTTGCAAGTAGTCCGAGTAAAATCCGTTTTGATGCTTTAACTATGGTCCTAGCTCTGTTTCCTTTGACATTATTTCCATCCCAAGAGATCAGGGGCCAGGAACAATTAGAAAATAAACATGTTCGATTCGGTCTGATTGTCTTGATTAATAAATGTTTACGATAGCAAAATTGAACTTAGAATACAAATAAAAAGGAAGAGAAAATGATAAGAAGGCTGTGAATATGTGAAAGCCAAAAGAAAAACAAACATCAGTCTCATTAATTTCTTTAAAGAGTGCAACTCAAATTTTTCATTTATTAGTAATCCTCTACCTACGGGTGAATCCAGGCTTTTGACTGCAGATCTTGCAATGCGTAAATTGCTCAGGAACATATGGTGCAGATTCTAGTAATTCCTGAGAGAGAAATGGCCCCTTCCCACACCATCCATGTCTGGGGAAGGGCAGCCCGGACACTTCCTGGAAAGGGGGAGGGAGGAAAGACAAGGAAAGTGGGAGCTCTCACCAACACCGCAGTCTCTCCTGCCCCAACTCTGCCTCCATAGTTGTCCCCAACGGTGTGATCATCCATTCACATTCAAAACCTGTCAGGAAGCCAGACCAAAGATCGAGGGATCAGTAGACCCAAGAAGAGCAGAGATGGATAATGAGAACCCCTGCCCCTGCCCCCTGTAGAGGTGCTAGTCTCAGGAATCCATGGAGACAACATAAAGCAGAAAGTCCTTACAAGCTATGGACAGGTTGCAGCTTTCAAATGACTGTTCTGGTGACACATTTGGGTTCTTTGTTGGAAGTGCCTCACTCCCCAGAACACAGAGGTGCCCATTCACAATAACTCACCCTTTGTCACTTCAATCTGAGATTCCCGACTTCACACTCTCTCTGCTCTTCCTCCAGGTCCTCAGAAACAGCAATTCCATTCCTCCACCACTCCATAATCTCAGTAATTTCCTGCCAGTCTTAGACACAGGACAGCAGCTGCATTTTTGAGCCCTCTCCTCGAGGACCATTGAGATTTGCTTCTCCTGGGGGCGGGAGGGGGTGCCTTGTTTGGACTCAAGGTTTGCACTGGGAAACTAGGTTTGGGGAATTTCAGTGCTTTGAACAGAATCCCTGAACTTTTAAGGTAAACAGGAAGTGGCCATGCACTGAACTCAACTTCACTTCACAACACCTCAGGGTAAGCCAGAGGAAGGGGGTGGGGCACTGCAAAGCTGGAGAGAGATGGAGTGAACCTTCATCTTTATTTCTGTCCTGTGAAGAAAGATGGAGTGAACCTCCATTGCCTGTGTCACCAGGTCATGTGTCTCTTCCCAGTCAGGATGCCACATCTCTAACACCCTAGAATAGAGGAGTTGCCCACTTGTGCCATGACCTCCTCCACCTCACTTGAACTCTACTCTCGTGTCATCTTCATTAATCCCTTTTTTTCAGTCCCCATCCCAGCAAGACATCTATTGAGCAGATACTGTGTTCCAGGCATGGTTCTAAGAGGGTGACGGTGCAACAGAGCAAGGACATGTTGCTGCTCTCCTGGTGCCACATTCCTCTGGGGTAAGAATCAATGTACAGAACTGCTTTAAAGCATATAAAATTGTGTTAGGTGTCAGGAGGAAAATGCACAGCACAGCACACAGAAAATTACTCAGAGCAGTACAATGTGCAAGTCTGGGTCTGGGTGTGTCATGGGAATGACACAGCAGGGTGGGACCAGGAAAGGCCCATTTCAGGAAATGAAATCTTAAAATCATCAGAAGCAGCTGGTCACCAGAGAAAGACACTGGGGTTGGGCTGGGGGTGTGTAAATCATCCCACCACCAAGAGAAAGGGAGAGAGAAAGAGTTCAAAGGTCCTGACACTGACACAGGCTTGGCATGTTAATATAATAAAAGTGGTCTGGCAGGACAAGACACTTTAACAATGAGTATTAATGATAACGATTAATGAGGTTCAGACCCTTCATACCTGTGAAGTTGCAAGAAAAGTAAGTTCTTAGTGGGGCACAAGTTGACCATGTTAAATATGAGAATAATGTGACCTAAAGATCAGTCTAACTTCTGTGTGAAACAGGACTATTTGGGGGGAAATATTATCAAACTGAACCGGAGTCTGCTCACCTTGTGTAGTAAAGCCAGATTTGCAGTGGGAGAATGGAGCATTTTATCGTATGGCGCCAAGTAAGCAGAACAGGTAGCTAACACTTAAGATCTAAACTCCATGATGGCTTACAAGGAAGGGTTTTTAAAGGCAGGGGTGCATTTCAGGAAAGCAGAAGTTGTAAGCAAAATCATAAAACCAGTACATAGAGGTTATACATTGGTTTGGCCCAAAAAAGTAGGATATCTTGAAGCAGGGTCTTGAGGATCAGAGGTGGATTCAGAGATTATTTGATTCCTCTAGGTGTGACTCTCCCCAGGACCCTCAGGAAGAAATTTAGAACAAAGAACAGCAGTCAGAGTGGTCTACCTGATAGCCATTGGCATTTTTCATTTGGTCAGGATTTCTGCAAAACAAATTGAGAACATAATTTAAGATTTTATCTTTTAGTTTCTATAGGGAACCAAAATACCTTATGACTCTGGCATACTTAGGAGACTATTGTTACTATCTTCTCTTTTACCAGGTTGCTCATTTTCTTTGCAATACTAGGTAGGTGCCTGGGATTTCCCTTGAAGAGACTCAAGCTTCTTTTTTGCTTCCATGCTTGAGAGTTCTGGCAGGCCCCTAAAAGGAGTCCCTGCTCCATCTCAACAAGAGTAGAAGTAGGAATACCAGTCAGGAGCTGACAGTGTCCAGGCCAAATAATAGCACATAGACTAGGGTATCAGCAGAGACATTGAAGAGAAGGTGCAGATTCAGAACAGATGTTCAAGGAAGGATCAATAGGCCCCAGGGGAGAACTGGAAGTTGAGGGATATTGGAAAACAGAGGAGTCTTCCAATATCAGTAAATCACATCATTATCCTCTCATGTTACAGTCCCATCCTATTCCCCTCCCTGTGTCCATGGCCTCCCTCCTGCCCATCTATACCTTCCCCACCCTTTTCTTATCATTCCCATGCAGTTCCTCTTTCACAGTCTCTATGCTGAGAATTGGGCTAAGATCAGAGGCAGTTGGTGGCCCCAGAGCTCCCAGAGGGAAAGATGATCCAAAGCAGAGCAAAGAGGGTCCTGTGCTTGGCCATGGAGACACCCTGGTGGCCTCGCTACCTTTTTTGCAGTAGACATCCAAGACTTTCTGATTGCCCTGAACCAAAGGCTAGCACCACAGAGACTACCATTAGAAAAGTTAAGTGGTCATACCAACATATTCCAAGGACACAGTCCTTGGAGTCTACTTCTCTTTCCTGATTTTATTAAATTCTCATGATAATACCACACCTTCAAGAAGTCTTACAGGAGAAAATACAGTTAACGTTCTAACACATTCTGTAAAGTCCAGCATGAAGGGAAGGTCAATTCACAATGCTATTGTTTTTACTTTAACATTTTGATAACTGGGAACATTTCAGGACAGGTACCTCTAGGTGGGAGTTGAATGGAGGTTGTTAAGATGGCAAGTCATCAACCTTGGGGAGATACACTTGTAGGGATCATGACTACACTTGTGATTCATGAATATGAGACCCCACCAGTGAAGTGGTACACAATCTTCAAGGATATCAAGCATCTCAATGAACCAACAGTAGGAATAGTACTTCAAGATGGTCACGGATTGGTTTTTCCATTAGAGAGAGAAGGCTCCACTGTCAGGTAGGAGAGGGGAGAAAAGAAACATCTAGGCTAAACACTGTGATTAACTTTGCCTGATATTGAGATTTTATGAGTTGTATTTCCACTTCAATTACACAAGGGAGTGAGGCAATTAGTAGGGAGAGGAGCACAGAAATTCCGTCTCCATACCTGTTTCAGATTTCCTATGAAAAATAGCCTTGTTTCTCAACTAAAATTTATTTTGGTTAATAAATTTCTTTCTTAAAATGCAGAGCTGTCAATCATGTCTCAAGTCTGATTTACAATTACTTAAGAAGATCAATTGCCTACTTCAAAATTCTCATTATTTTAAAGATATTTTGGATATAAAATTGGGTGTTGTGAGGGATTCTAGCAAATAGGGCCAAGCAGATTATCACAATGGATATCTGGAAAACTGAATATATTAAATTCTTATCACATATCCCCACTGAGTTAGAAAATATGACTGTATTAGTCAAAATTATCCAGAGAAACAGAACAGATATATAGAGATATAAATATAGCATAGACATAGACATACAGAGATTTATTACAAGAAATTGGCTCAGGCAATTATGGCATTGGAGAAGTCCCATGATCTGCCCTTCAGAAGTTGGCAGACCCAGGAAAGCCAGTGGTGTAATTCAGTCTGAGTCCTAAGGCCTGACAACCAAGACAGCCAGTGATGTAAATCTCAGTACAAGTGCAGGAGAAGATGAGACAGGAGGTCCCAGCTCAAGAAGTGAGGCAAGAAAAAAAAGGATGAATTCCTCCTTTCTTCTTTCTGCATATTTTGTTCTATTCAGGTCCTCAGCAAGTTGGATGGTGCACACCCACATTGGAAGGGCAATCTTCTTACTGAGTTCACCAATTCAAATGCTAATCTTACCCAGAAACACCCTCACAGACACACCAAGAAATAATGTTAATCTCAGCAACCAAGGCCTGTTGGGAAAATAGGCTAGTGAAAGGTTTCAGGAGTTTTGCAGGGCTTTACCTTGAAGCAATCTGTGGGTGTGTTAGTTCAGGGGCTAGAAGCCGCTCCCAACAAAGATAGGCATTATCAGCACACATTTGCTCAGCAGCATTTCTTCAAGGCTGCCAACTATTGTAGGGCAGAGGAAGGGCAGAGGAATTTGTAGGACAGAGGAAGGGCAGAAGAATTCTTCCAATTGTCGGGAATTTACTTGGGTGGGGCAATGAGCTAACTGCAAACCTTTGCTTCTGGTCATTGCTTGCTTGCTACACCGCTGTAGGGGGAATTATGGGATGAGGTCATTGATGGGATTGGATCATTGCCAGCTCCTGGATTTGCCCTCCGCTGAGCCACGAGTCAATTTAGTTCTTTATTGTGTTTTTGTCCACTCTTCTACTTTCTTATTTCTTTGTCGTCGGTTGTTTGTTGTGTTTGTGTTTTCTCCTTCTAGACTTTTTCTTTCCTTCTCTAAGCCTGATTGTATTTTGTTGGACATAGAGAGATTTATGGTATTAAGAGATCTCTGCATCATGAAGATACAGATTGATTGGTGTATCCTCTTTTCCTCTGTTTTAGGCCTAGAAGCTGAAGTCTTCACCTTGGTTCTTGCCAACTGACTGATCCTTCTATTTGACTTACTCTCCTTACTATGTGTCCTGGATACCCTCTGTTTATTCATACGATGTCCGTTTAATTTGGGCTGTCATTTTGCTCCTTTATCAGCATATTCGTCCATGTTTTATTATGTAATTCCTTGTAATTCAGTTCCTATCTGGGTAATGTTCTCACGCCTCTTACAGTTTGATCCTAATCTTTCCTTCATTTCCTGCCATTGCGTTTGTGTCATCTTGTGTTGTCTTCAAAACTAAACAAACATGTGTTGGAGTCAGTTTTATGCATATGATTTTTCTCTTCTTTGCTTCTTTTGTTGATTATTCCCCATTGGTAGCTCTTTCCTCATTCCGTGTGTTTAATTTTGGTATGTAGATCCCACTTGTCCTTGCTGGTGTGCAGATGTTGTATGTGTATGTATTGTTGTTCTTTATCCTCCTTTATTTGCATTTGTTCCTCTGTTTGTAATAATTGGTGTCTTGTTGATTTGTCGTCAAGTCTGTTTTCTAGCTTCTGGTTTCCTTGAATTATTTTCCATCGCAGAGATAAGGGGCCCATTGACATAAGTAGAAATAACATGTTTGATTCTGTCTGATTTGTGAATCATAATGTTGACGATAGAATTGATTTAAGAACTACAAAATAGAAAATAAAGGAAGCGAACAATGTAAGAAAGCGTGATATAATGTGAAAGCAAAGAGAAAAGAAAACATTAAGTCTCACTGAGAATTATTTTAAAAGGAAGTGCCAATTTTCTTTATTAGGTGATTCTTATCTACGGGGTCGAATCCAGGCTTTTGACTCAGATCTGCAATGCAGTTCAAATTGATCAGGACAATATGGGTCAGATTCTAGCTACTGTCTGGAGGAGGAGTGCGGCACCTTTCCCCACTATCCCATGTCCTGGGGGAAGGGGGCAGCCAGGCACCTGCGTGGGAAGGGAGGAGGACAGACATGGAAGTGGGAGCTCTCCAAACCAGTCGGTCTCCTGCCCACTCTGCCCTCCGATTAGTTGTCCCCAATGTGTGTCATCATTATTCAAAACTGTCAGGAAGACACAGATCAAGGATCAGGGATCAGTAGATCCAAGAGAGCAGGAGATGGTAATGGAAGCCCACTGCCCTGCCACCTGTAGAGGGCTGGCTCTCAGGCAATCATGAGAAACAGAAAGAGAAAGTCCCTACAAGCTATCGGACATGTGCAGCTTTCAAATGGACTGTTCTCGGTGCCTCAGTGGGTACTGTTGGAGTGCTCACTCAGAACTACAACACGAGGGTGCATGTCATCAAATACTCACTTTGTCCTTCAATTGAGCTATTCTCCGACCTCCACTTCTCTGCTCTTCCTCCAGGTCCTCAGAAACAGCGAATTTCCATTCCTCGCGCAGCCACTCCGATAATCTGCAGTTACTTCTAGCCGTCATTAGGACCACAGACAGGCAGCTGCTTTGAGCTCTCCTTCTGGAGGAGCATTGAGATTTTGTTCTCTGGGGGCAGGGAGGGGGTGCCTGTGGGACTCAAGGGTTTGCACTGGGAAACTAGGTTTGGGAATTTCAGTGGTCTGAAGAAATCCGCTGACTTTAGGTCAAAACAGGAAGTGCATGCAGCTGGGGATCACTTAACAGCCTCAGTAGTAGCACGAGGAGATTTTTGGTGGGGCACTGCAAATGCTTGTGAGAGAGATGAGGATGAACCTTACATCTTTATTTTGTCCTTGAAGAAAGGAGAGTGAAACTCATTGCTGTGATCACAAGGTCATGTGTCTCTTCCCGTCGAGGAATGCACATCTCTAACACCCTAGAATAGTAGGGTTGCCCATTGTGCCCATGACCTCTCCACCTTGAATCCTAGTTCCCTCTCCGTGCTCATTCATGTCATTCACTCTTCAAGTCATCAGCAGACATCTATTGAGCTCTGATTGTTTCAGGCATGGTTCTAAGGAGGGTGACGGGCAACAGTATCGCAAGGACAGTGTTGGCTGCTCTCCTCGGGGCACATTCCTCTGGGGTAAGAATCAATGCTACAGAAGACTGCTTATTAACAGCATACAAAAATTGTGTTAGGTGTCAGTTGAGAAATGCACAGCCAAGCACACAGAAAAATTACTCAGAAGCCAGGACAATGGTGCAGTCTGGGTCTGGTGTTCATGGAAATGACACAGGCAGGGTGGGCCAGGAAGGCCCATTCAGGAAATGAAATCTTATAAATCATCAGAAGCAGCTGGTTCACCAGAGAAAAGACACTGGGTGGCTGGGTGTCGAAATCATCCACACCAAGAGGAAAAGGGGAGAGAGAAGAGTCAAAGTCCTGACACTGACACAGGCTTGCATTTAATATAATAAAGTGTCTGCAGGACAAGACACATTTAACAATGAGTATTAGTATGATAACGATAATGAGGTTCAACCTTCGATACCTGTCGAAGTTGAAGAAAAGTAAGTTCTTAGTGGGGCACTATTGAGCATCTGTCTTAAATAATGAGACATAATGGTTGACCTAAAGATCAGTTAACTTCTGTGTCGAAACGAGACTATTTGGGGCAAATATTACTAAACTGAAACCGGGAGTCTGTGTCACCTTGTTATAAGCCAGATTCTGCAGTGGGTACATGGGATTTGTATCGGTATGGGCGCAAAGTAAGCAGAACAGCCTAGTAACATTAAGTCTAAACTCATGATGGGTAAGGAAGGTTTTGAACGCGTGCATTTGGAAAGCAGATAGTGCAAAGATCATTAAAACCAGGTACATAGGAGGTGTGTACCATTGGTGAAGGTGTGTGAGTGATATTTTTGAAGCCAGGGTCGGTGAGATCGTCGTGGGGTGGATTCAGAGAGCTTCTTTGATTCTCTAGTGTGAACTCTCCCCAGACTCAGGGAAGAAATTTAGAACAAGCAACAGCAGTCAGCATAGTGGTGGCTACCCTCATAGCCATTGGCATTTTTTCATTTGTACGTTATCTGCAAAAACAATGAGAACTACAAATTGTCATAATAGTTCAGTCCAGGTGTCTTTAACCTATTGTAACCTCACAAGTCCACCGACTCCTGTTGCTAACTGCCGATATGCACAGACATCAGCACGGATGTTCTACATTGTTGCTTGTGATAAAAGATCTCGACAGGACCCTCCCGTTTATCCAGTGGTTCCAGTTCACCTGGATGGAATCATATAAGCTGCTATGTCGGCGCTTCGTGTCATAGCTCATCTGTCAAGCTTCACGGTCCCAGCAAAGATGCCATCCCTCCACGCACCCTGAGCTTCAGCATCTGTGCTCTCAGTCCACAATCTCTTTGACGCTTTCCTGAGCTCATGGGCCTTTTGGACCTTGCAATAAACTTCTTAGCAGAATCATCAAGGAGTCTCTATGTGTCTATTTTTGCCACCCTACTATCACTTAGTCACAATCTGCTCTAGAGACTTTTCCCTTCCTCTAGCCTGAGATTTGTGGGAAACAGAGAGATGTGAAGTTAAGAGACTCTGCATCGTGAAGCAACACAGACTTATCCCTCTCCCTGTTTTAGGCCAAGAAGCTGGAGTCTCATCTGGTGTCTGCTAACTGACAAAGGCCCTAGCCTTTACCACAGCTTGGTCATGTTCCTCTGAACCCTCTTCACAATTAGGTCCTTACCTTGAGCTTCAGAGTCCTTCCCCATCGAGTACAGTTTTAACGGGAATCCTGCTAACTCAGCCTACTGTGAATCTCTCACCCTCCATAATTGACCAAATCCCTCACCTCCACCAGCCCCCATGTGAATCTGATCACCCTGGCCTGCCTTGAAACAAACAAATAAACAAAAAATCCAATGTCTAAGCTCTTTATATATCAGGAAAAAAAGAGAGGAAAAAAAAATCCAGTGAAGTCAATTTAGCAATGATCCCACAGCCTTGAAATCTCCCCTTGGTAACTTTTCCTCCACCAAACCCCGCCCCACACACACCAACCTGTAATTTGTGTGTACATCCCCACTTGTCCTAGCTGTATTCCAGAGTTGAGTCCAGTTTGATTCCGAGGTCTCATTTACCCTATTGCAGTAGTCCCGGAGTAAATCCGTTTTTGATGCTTTAACTATGGTCTAGCTCTGGTTTCCTTTGACATTATTTCCATCCCAAGAGATACAGGGGGCCAGGAACAAATAGAAAATAAACATGTTTGATTCGGTCTGATTTGTGAATTATAAATGTTACGATAGAATTGAACTTTAGAATACAAAATAGAAAATAAAGGAAAGAGAAAATGTAAGAATGCGTGAATATAAGTGAAAGCAAAAGAAAAGAAAG